GCCTCTGTACTGACAAGAAGGGAGTTCCCCAACCTGTAGGTATGGTGCCGGTTGTTCCTCCCCAGGTGCATCACTTTGCACTTGTCAGTGTTGAATCCCATCCTATTCTCATCCGCCCACCCCTGTAACCTGTCTAGGTCTGATTGCAGCCTATTCCTCCCTTCTAGCATGCCCACATGCCCCCACATCTTAGTGTCATCAGCAAGTTTGGACAGGGTGCTTTTTATCCCCTCGTCCAAGTCACTGGTGAAGATGTTGAACAGTGTGGGCCAGAGGACTGAGCCCTGCGGGACCCCACTGCCCACATCCCTCAAAGTCGAAAATGACCCGTCCACCACCACTCTCTGGGTTCGGCCTTCCAGCCAGTTGGCGACCCATTTGACTGTGTGGGTGTCGACACCACAGCCCCCCAGTTTCTTAATGAGAACAGGGTGAGAGACAGAGTCGAAGGCCTTTTGAAAGTCCAGGAAGACTATGTCCACTGCTACCCCTACATCTAAGGATTTGGTGATCTGGTCATAGAAGGCCACCAGATTGGTTTGACAGGACCTGCCTCTAATGAACCCATGTTGGTTGCCCCTAAGCAATCTCCCTTGCTGGCCCCTCGTGGATATGCGCCAGAATAATTTTTTCAAAAAGCTTGCCCAGGATCGAGGTAAGACTAACTGGCCTATGGTGGAGATCGTCCGGACCAGCTGACTTGAATACATCCAGTCTCTCCAGAAGTTCCCTAACTAGTTCCTCACTAACCCTTGGCCTAGGTGAGCCTCCCCTGGGGCCTGAGGGGGATGTCTTGTCTTGTCTCAGTGAGGATGGTGTTTGAAGTCGGTGGGGAATTTTTTTTTGAGTACTCTTTCAGTAACCCTTTGTGGATTGAATTTCAGTGGCATTAAAGTGCATTACAGGCAGTCCTTGACTTAGTTTTTCGAGTTACATTTCACACTTACAACATTTATAAATTCACACTGTTTCAACTTTTATGACATCAGTTTTGACTTTACAACGCTTGATCCTATGCAATGTCACACCAGCAAACAAGTCCCCTGCATCGCTCATCTCCCTGGAGAACATCTGTCCAAACTTCCTTGGACGCTTTCTTTAAGAAAGCAGACAAGACTGCAGAAAAACCTGCAGCCAAGACTCTGGAGAACCAAGAACCCTTCAAGAAGTCCAACCAGGAGCCCTTCAAAAACTCCAGCAAAGTCACCTCAAACAAGTCCTTCCAAATCAATATGATTTCTATTTACAATATAAATACATTAATGTAGCTAGATTACTTCTCTATAATTGATCAAGTACAAAATTCTGGGGTATTTTTGGTGAAAATAAGATATCAGGCCTTGGTTCAGGAACCCCCCATCTATAACATTGTTTCATATGAGAAAATTGGTTCCAAGTTACATTTCGACTTAAGACACGGTTTTCAGGAACCAATTGTATCGTAAGTCCGAGGCCTGTCTGTATTGTTAATTGTACAAATTTTGAGTAAATGACTATTTTTTAACTTCTAAGAAGTCTTTAGCAAAACTGCAGCCATTTGAAATAAAAAAAGGACTTGTCCATTTGCATCAAACCAAATCTTGCGGTTCCTTGTTCCTTATAATTTTTCATAAATATTACAGCAAGAAAATTTTCAAGAGCGACAGAGATCTGACTTGACCTGTCTTATACAAACTAAACAGGATCTAAAATGGGTGTCCTTCCTGTGCTTAGACATAAACCTAAAAGAAGCATGAAGTACAACAAATGAATAGTTAAAAAAACAGGGTAGATAACTGGGCATTTTTTCTTTATAAAAAATATATTTGTAGGCTCTTTGTGTGCAGACCTGAAGTTCTTTGAAGGAAACCATTTTTTTTTTTGTTTGGTTATTAGAAAAAATGTAGGTCCTCTTCTATGAAGAGA